AATGAATGAATGAATGAATGAATGAATGAATGAATGAATGAATGAATAAATAAATAAATAAATAAATAAATAAATAAATAAATAAATAAATAAATAAATAAATAAATAAATAAATAAATAAATAAATAAATAAATAAATAAATAAATAAATAAATAAATAAATAACATCTGTACTCACAAACAGCACCGATTTCTTTGAGGTTGTCAAAGGCACAGCTCGGCGTAGTCCCAAGAGTTGCACAAACCTGAAATTATATTTTTTTTCAAAATGAACCACAGTTTAAAATTTCATTATCATATATTTTGTATTGTATAAAAACAAGAAACAAATTTATAAAAACAAAAGCATAAAGAAACATGCACAAGCCTCTTAAAACAAATGATGATAATAATATATCACAAGTGCATAAAAACAAACGAAGTTGGAAAGTTAACATAGAGGAAGTTTGTTAATGCTTACAAAAAAAGGTATCAGCCCTTTTGCCTTGTCTTTTTGTATGGCTTCTTTTAATACATCACCTCTCAGCGAGTATTTATCATCTGATTTTAATAGTCTCATTCTGACACAAGCTATCAAACCAGCTCGCTCTACTGATGAATGCGACTGCAACAGGAGAAAAAATAAAATAAGAGCAACAGAGAAAATTAAAGGGTGATGGTCGTTGTGTCGCGTCCTGTTCGATATAGGACTCATAGCGACGTATACAACGCGTGTAAAATACATTGTTTGTTTCCATAGAATTTGAACACACGCTGCGCGATGACTACCGCCCTTTAAGCAAATAGTTACCAAGGTCAATCTTCAGTTTTAATACAGCCTCTGTTTAATTTTTCAGAGGGTCATTAAAACTGAATATTGATGGTCATTGAGGAAACTATATGTTTTAATATACTAGTAAGAGTATACACAATATAAATCGAACATGGGAGTTTTTGTTTTTCTGTTAACGTGTGCAATACATATATGTCACTGGGTTTTGCCAAAAGTATATTTTAAGTATATTTCTGGGCATTTTGAAAAAGCGCATGATGGTAAGAATTGTACCATTCACAACACAATAAGTATGAAAAGAACACCCATGATCAGGGCTAAAAAAATTGGGCAATTACCGTAATAGAAAATTATGCAGATAAGAAAATGCAGATCTCAAGTTTGGGTTGAACTGTATATCAAATTATCTGCAGCTCACAACAAGAAATTACCGGTAAATATTACCACAATTGGGACTATTATGTGTGTTAAATGTCTTATCAAGTATAACTATTTGTTGTGCTCAAAATTTCACTAAAGCACAATTATTTGTCTCACATATTGGAGATGTACTTCTAATAAACTAAATACAGTAGTGTAAATTACTTTTATTTTCATTGAAAGAATGAATCAGTGAAAATAAAACCCAGCGAAAATAAAGTTTTTTTAGTTTTTATCTTTTTTTCATACACAAGGGGTTAGAACTACATCACTGAACGTTCTACGTTGCTAAGACGTGCACCACTGTATCATGTATTTCTATGGGCTCTCTGCAAGCTGCTTTGGAACACCGGTCGAAGAGCCGGTGAAAACAGCTACCGGTACAGTCGAGGAAACAACACAAACTCAACATTTAAGTAATACTGAGTGTAAGAAGTGGGATACAGATTCATTATCGATTCAGATTTTATTGTCAGCAATCCCCTATTTTAGTGACTTTATTCATTGTATTTTCTCTGCTTTATTTCTTATTTATTTTTAATATTTATAATTATTTTGAGAGGTATTAAAGCCAGGAGCTTTAACTCAATATTTTGGTGTATGTGAATTTATATATGTTGCACGTGTAGAGATAATATTGTTACACTGTTTGAGTCTCAACAACTACCCTAAAGTACATTTTTTGAGAGTTTTTGTTTTTACTGTGATGGTTGCCAGGCGGTGAAAATACCTGGATGTCCACCCTTGAATATAATGTATGCATACTAAAGATTGCTTGACCTACCTGATCTGATGTATACGCTACTAATTTTGACATTATGTCATAGTTGTCCATTTCAGTATTCTCTGACTTGCATCTTATAATGTGTTTTGTCTTAGCAGCTAGTAGAGAAACTAACGTTGCTTCACTCGCTGTGCCCTATTAACAAATCATAATATATACGCTATAAATTATTTGTCAGTTTTCAGTTTAACTATAAGTCCAAGCCACCCTAAAATTGGAATGCAGAAATGTCACTACTAGTTTTTAAAACTTTTATGAATATTGTGGAATTAGAAAGAAAAAATGTGTACGTGTCACACACAGGTAAATTTCAAATTGCCACATGGAGACAAGAAATAAACGTTTTGGAATGAAGTCCAAATAGAGTTTGCAATAAAAGTTCTTTCAATCAAAAAAAAGATTATTAAGTAAATTGTTTTATTGAAGTTTGTAGAAATATTACAATAATGACAAATATATTTTAATAAATCAATATACAATGCAACTGTTGGCTTACATGTGCTTCTATTGGAGATGCTCTTCTAATAGAGCAAATACGCCATTATCTAGGTATAAAAATGGTCACACTTTTGAGCACTCAGGGGCACCCACCTACCCAGCATGCATCAACTGCCCCGCCGGGATATTAGTGCTCTGAAACCCAAATACAACAGAGCATTCTGTAAACTTTAATACTTCTCAGGTGGTACTATTGTGTAATAAAGTTATTAATTTGTTTACCTGGATGACCCCACCCCCAGATCCTCCTTCACTAACGATAAAATCTGTTGGTAATCGTAACATCTTTGCCAACCAATCCATCATGACGATCTCTAATTCTGTACAAGCAGGACTTGCAATCTATGGAATCATAGCAGTCATTATTTAATAAAATATGAACTATACTCTCAGTGTGACAAAGGCATTCCTTTTATCTTTATTTATATTTATAAATTTCATAATTCAAACTGAAATGAGAAGTTTCTATTGACCGATTGAACAACATTGGACATGTTCAAATGATGTCATTGCACACAGTGCTTGTTGATTGGCTTGTTGGATTCATCTGTCATTGAAATATACATGTATATTTTTATAAAGATGAAGGGAATACCTTTATTTCACTGAGAGTAATTATGGGAACAATTTCCCTGATTCTGGTTCTTATTGACTGTTTATTACTAATCCAAATCAGTGAAAATAGAAGAGGTGGCCAACTTGTTTCCATGGACAAGAGATTTGAATTTTTCACCATATAGTGTGATCAGCAAGTCATTTAGCGCAAAATGGGGTCAACTTTAGAAATGCTTTATTTTGAATTCAAATCTCTATGATGTCCCTATGAATTTTATTTATTAGCTATAGAAATGGATCATGTGATGAAACTTCTATGTTTTATTTTATTGTGATTTTGCTTCAGTGCTCTCAATCGCCTAGTGAATAATAGAAGGGTATGAGAGTTCAGAGGTATAGATGTACCAGGGTGCGTGCCCTTTCGAAATGAAGGATACAAACAATTTATCACAATATCTTCTGATACTGTATATCCTCGGAGGTGGAGCTACGTCACAAGACGTTCCACGTTGCTAAGACGCGCACCACTGTACCACGTATTTCTACGGGCTCTGCGCACGCTGCTGAGGAACGTGGAAGCCGAGTGAAGAGTCGGTGAAAATTCAAGAAAACAAAAGGAACTCAGAAAAATTATTTAACGCAACATAAATTTGTTTCTGTCTTTCCAAATTTTCAGAAGTTGTTAAAGAATACTCTTACCCATGTGAATCCAATGCAGCCAATAGCGTCTGATAGGATATCAGCCAAAATTCCGGGATATGAATTGGCAGTGGCAAAATACGCATGGAAGTTTGGATTATGCCAGTGACTTATCTGGAATATAAAAAGTTACACATGACATAAACAAGGAATAAAGAGATCTGAATAATTTAAGCGCCAATTTTTTTTCATGCACAAAATTAAATTTTGTACCAAACAGATTAAATGTAACATTGTTTTTAGTTTTTGAAAAAAAAAATTACAAAATTGTTGTCAACATTTTATGTAGAAAAGAAGCAGATGATAAGTTGACCTATTTTGTGGAAGGTGACTGCAGTTGACTTTGGCACTCGATGGGTTCAGAAATAATACTTTATAGTGTATCTTTGTTATATAACTCATCATATTATTTTTATCAAAATACATTTTCAAACAAAATTTATTACTCACAATATCTAGTATTAAGGTAGATGTTAAAGGACAGTAGTCACGCATGTACAAGATATATGGGCCCATATAAACAAAGATGGCGACTTTGACTCTTGTGCAGACAAACGAGTACAAACTGAGATGTTACCAAGCTTTAATTAGGTATTTTTCAGGTGACTGAAAGGTATCAAAGGAGTCAATTGGTGGTAATTAGGGCAGGTCGCATCCAGGTCAAACCTCATATCATTAGAAGAGCGCATTGGATTGTGGGAAAATCAATGTTTATCAACACAAATGTCGCATATGCGCAGTGTGACGACCGCCGCCCTTCAATTGTGCATTTCGGACATTTGCGAATACTTTAGCACATATAGCAGTGCCAATATTTCATATCAGAATCTGTAATTCATCGTTTTAGTATTAGTCAGAAAGTATGAAGACTTTCTTTAATTCTGTTTTTTGAGAACAACTGTCAAATAATATGCATCATGACAATTTCACAGCGGTTTCCATAGACCATAAAGAAAACATGTTTCATTATTTAAACCCCACTAAAAATAATAATGTCCATTCGTTAATACTCCTAGAAATAAACACATACACACATACATTGTGAAACACTGCATCATTTTTTGACTATGCGCCACCAAGCAAAATTTGAAGATGATATATTCCTGCCCTAGGAAAATAATGGTAAAATGGACGAAACGAACAAAACAGGCTATTTTCACCCCATATTATACATTGATTTTTTCAAAACTATGTACAAAATCCAAATATTTTTATTTCATTTTTATCATAATTATAAATAAAATGTCGCATACCTAAAAATAATTTTTATAATTTATTATTTATAAATTATTTTTACTTATTGAGTAGCATTCCACTTTAAAAACAATCTGTGGAAATTGTTATCAAATCAAAGATAATATCATTCAACATTAATTGATCATTTAAAGTGTGAACTAATTTAACTGGAAAATCACTGATATAAATTAACATATTCTGCCAAAAAATAATTATCAGTACAATGAATATTGGAACGATCTAAAAAAATTAAAATCAAAGCATGGCTTGAATTCATGAATGTATGCAATATAGGTAGTTGTATATCTTTAAGAAAATCAAGATATCTTTGTGTGTTTGCAGTAGCCACATCTAGATTCTTGAAATGCCATGAAACACAAATTACAGCCATGGAGATGAATAACACATTTCCATGGTAACATAGTAACTAAGGAAATGTCAACGAATGAAATCATTGAAAGACCCAATACAGACACAGGAAGCCTTTAATAAAAGTAACCTTTTTATTTTAGTAGACTTCAAAACCTCTAAGTATATTTACCCAGTAACTCAGAGCAAACTCTGCGTACTAAAGATTAAATTACCATGAGTCATGCATGACATGGCAGTTCAGTGTTTTTGATAATATTTTTTAATTTTGATAATTATTTTCTACTCCATTAGTCGATCTTTATATTATTTTTGACACCATTTTTTCTGACATGGCATGAATATTTTCCTTACTGATTATGTTATTACCGGTAAGCACAATTCATTATGGGAGATCAATTCATTTGAATATATTGTATTGCACTGTAAAATTTAATATTATTTTTTTTTAAATTTGTGACAATATTTGGATTAATACATTCTGTATTCATTCAATGTGTCTTTACATCCTATGTCACCAAACAACATTTCTAGATTCTGAAAAAAAATCAATACCCACATAAAGATATTTTGACGACCATGAATAAACCCATGTTTGTTTCTTATTTTTTCATCATTTTTCAATTTATTTTGAACCACCACTGCATCATTACCACATGCTAAGACAAGAATTTTACAATGACTTAAGAGCCGATTTATTTCCAATTTCTCTGTGTAATTATCCCAATATTGAAAAATTAGTGTCTCTTTTCTCAACATCCCAACCTTGTATTATTTATCGCTTAGCTATTTACTTGTTACAAGAATTCAAAAAACGAGATAATTATGAGACAAGTTAGATGTAATATTTTAGTGATTTATGTAAATTGATTTATCAATATTTTTTTCTTCTTTTTTTGTGGTGTTGTAATTAGTAGTATGTGTTTCTTTGTAAAAACACCTCTACCTATGTATTTTTAAATATTGTATGATGGGTCACGGCCCAGTACTGAATAAAGATTGATTGATTAATTGAATTTCAATTTTTCATCATTTTAAATATTTATATTTTAGTTGTTGGAATCTTTATATATTCACATCATGAGTCGGATTTGTTCTACAGTCCGCGTCGTTCACGTTTCCAGATAATATACATGTGCACTGACCTGTATGTAATAGATGGATATACCACATATCGAAAATAAACTGCATGTACAGACTTATTTAAATATCAACATCATTCCCTGCAAAGTATTACTAGTATCTGTTATTATTAGTACATTAATTAAAAAAATTAAAAGCGTATTTTTTAATAAAAGTATCCATGCATGTTCAATGACATTGGTGAAGATTAACAGTTGTGTATAGATATACAGACTATACAGACGAGTCCAACAATCAATTGATCAGCCACCCCACCTCCCACCTTGCAACTGCCATCTAATTATTCAACATGGTTACAGCATTATACTGTCAAATTTTTCAATAAAATGAATTATACGGTAGTACCTGTAAACTGCAGTGAAAAATAGTATATCATTTTTTTTTCTTTTAATTTTTCCTTACATGTAAAAACCTTTCTAAATATATATCACATACACTTCTGTATTTTATTCCACATGTTTCTAAATTTTTTGAAATGCACACTAGTTATTAAAAGGTGAAAACAAAATTGCACAGATTTAAAGAAATCAAAACTGGACTATATTCTAATGGCTTTTAATGGCCTATCCAATTATTATTTGTTGGTTGAGTTATTTATATGGACATCTGAGTTAATCAAACAGTATAACTGTAATAATAAAATGCACAATCGTGTGCCACTTGAATGCCTTCATCTGTAACCAAGGTGATACAGATAAGCACCATCAAAGCACACAACAGAGTTAAATAAAATGACTTTGAATTAAATCAATATTGGTCTACATTTTCGTTTGTATTTGGACATATGCACACAGTAAGTACACATTTGTAGAAGCTGATGGCTTTTTTTTTGCAGGAGAAGGTTTTGTGGACATCAAATGATTGGTAGGGCAGAATTTTAAAAACATTTTTTTTTTTAATTTTCTGGTAGACTATTATTAGGTTATCCTTCTCATCACTTTTATCTCAGTTTCTGCTGCATTCTGAATAAAGGTATTTTTTAATTACCGGTACTGTTGATCATTATTCACTTCATAAACTTCATCAAAATTTATTATTAGGTAAAATAAAAATAAACAAGTCATTGTCAATGACACGTTCCCGTTCCGTTCATATTTGAGTGACATATACATTCAAAGCAGATCATGACTGAAATCTCAGACCACTTTCAGTGGTCTTATCCGAACTGCACCTGCATATGTACAACACATTGTACTAAATCTGAACAAAATCTGTCCATGCATAACTGAGATCCGGGTCCGGAATGGTGAAAATGTGCGATTTCAATGCATTTTCGGCCTTAAAGCGGCCGCCATTTAGCTATCGTTAATGCGATCATGAAACAAATGCACATACATATTTGTGACATGATGTACCTTGTGTGTGTAAAGTTTGAACTTGATCAATCCAGGCAAGTCTCAGATATGGATCAAGAACTGAATTTTTAAAAACAAAATGGCCGCCAGTCAGCCATTTCGAACTTGATCCGGAAAAAAAAATGACTTGCATCAAGGTCTTATTATGTTTAATGTATGTACCAAATTTGAACAAAATCCGTCCATGCATAACTGAGATCCGGGTCCGGAATGGTGAAAATGTGTGATTTTGATGCATTTTCGGCCTTAAAATGGCCGCTATTCGGCTATCGTTAATCAGATCATGAAAAAAATGCATGTGCATATGTCCCATATAATGTGTGATGTATGAGTAAAGCTTGAACTTAATCGGTCCATGCATGTTCGAGATACAGGTGATCACGGACGGACGCACGCACGCACGCACACAGGGCAAAACACACGTCCGAACGGGGACTAAAAAGATAATGTTCCTGAACAAAATATGATACAATAAAATCATTATTGATAACAATCCATTTAAAACACAGCTTTATCAATTGGGTCATTAATTGAACTGTTTCAAAAAAGATTAAATATGTAAATTTAATAAACTGTTACAAATGTACATTGTCATATCTCTTTTTGTAACATTGAAGTAGTACAGAATGAGTGAATAAATATATTATCTGCAGAGACAATCATTTGATGAAAATTTACAAGAAAGTTTTCAATTCAGGTTGCCATGCATGTTGATAGTCAGCAAAGCAAGTTATTTGTTGCTGCATCTTTATAGCATTTTATTATTCTACTATCGTCCTCTACATTTTCTACTTTTCATTGCGACGAACCCTAGACTGAGAACAAGACTAAAATAGTGCCCATAGAAATGAATAGAAACATAGCAGATATAAATAAAGTTGTAATCCATTAAATCTGTACTACTGATAGCTTATTTAAACCTGTAGCATATCACAATGTTTTGCTTCTTGTACTATTTTTTTATTTATTGAATTTATTTAATACCACATGATATATTTCACATCTATAAAATAAAGCTTTTGCACACATAAATACATTTAAGTCGATTTGAATCATCTAAACATTATTTGAAACAGACCTTAAAAAATAACATATTTTTACAATATTTCTGAAATATTTTTTTTAAACCACAAAAAATGAATAATAATCTTGGCATTATAAGCATCACAAGAATTATATTTGAATTTTGTCAAATAGGAATAAATTTTTGAAATTAATATACATACATTTCTAAGATGATGGCAGAATCAACAAACGACTATGTAATCATTTTTAGGTAATACTGTAGAATACTTTATTTTTGTTTGGAATTTATTTTTGCTATTTTCGCTGAAGGGATGATTCCGTGAAAATAAAATCCAGCGAATATACTTTTTTTCCTATATTTCACATTAAACTCGTCAAAAATCAATGAAAATAAATTCCATACAAAACGCCCAAAAAGCCTTTTCAGCGAAAATTAATTCAAGCGAAAATAAAGTATTCCACAGTACTAAACTTACACACACAAATGTCTCTTGTCAACAATGCAATCTCCTTACTGATACACCAAACAGGAAATGACACAAAGAAGGAGGATTTCTGGGTAATTACAAATATTTATCATTTTGAGTGAACATAGCCAAGAAGGATAGAAGTAGTTTCCTGAATTATATTATTAATTAAAAGTTGTATTAAATATGAGATAAAACATAATGTTTATATAGCTAGATATGTAAATAGGAATAATTTTGACAAGAAAGGGAAAAAAAGTTTCCCACAACTGATACACATGTTTCCTTTTTATTTTGAAATTTCCATAAAACATTAATTTTTTTCAAAAGTTCACAAAACAATCTAAAAATAGAAAAGCTGATATGTAGAAATTTGTAACTGACATACCAGAAACACAAATTGTCTTTCCTACGCCTTAGACAATGGTGGGAAATGTTATATGAAATGAAATATATTTTTATATTCCTACAGTATTTGTTGATAATATGAGGATTTAAGATAGAACAGTGAAAACACATCAAAATCAAACATTCTCACAATATAATGTTATTGTCATATTGACACATTTTTTTAATTTTAACACCAAAAATGATGAAAATAAAGATTTTATAATAGAAGTACACCTGAAGCAAAATTAAATGTACTGCATTTACTTGAAACATGTCTTACTTTGACCATAGATTTGTTTCTATCATTTACACATGCTCTTCTATTAAAGCAAATATGGTATTGGCTATTGAAAATGTCTAAGGGATCGACCATTTGAAATTATGGAGGGTGGCTGAAAGAGTTGTTAAACACAAAAAACAAAAATTTGCATGCAGGGTGTTGCAGGGAAACGCTTTCAAAAATAAGAAAAATGTAAAGATAAGGCAGCTTAAAAAAATTACCCTGGTCACCACCCCCTATGATCTTAAGTGTTTGTGCGAAATTTCAACTGATACAATATATTTCAATCATTTACAATATCACTGAATGAATAGAGAATATAAACATACTTACCCCTGGCATTATGACTCGCTCAACATCACCCAGTACATCTTCCCATCTATCAGGCTTGTCTGGTGCCGATGAAGGAATTAATTTCTCAAGATATCCAGGTTCAACTTTCGACAGTGGTGGGCGCTTTTCAACATTGTCTAAATAGTCAGCCACATAGTCCACCATCTGTTTACCCCATTTACGAAAATCATTGCTGTCCACCATTTTAAAATGTATTTCTTTGTATTGTTATTGGTATGAAGACTTGCAACTGAAAGAAGAAAAAGAAAATTGGGTTTGAAAATAGAAAATAGGTATAAATATAAAGGGATACGGTGGTTTCGTCCCAAATCACATTCGTCCCAAGTCGATTCGTCCCACAAGTTGATTCGTCCCAAGTCGATTCGTCTCAAGTCGATTCATCTCAAGTCGATTCGTCCCACAAGTTAATTCGTCCCAAAGTCGATTCGTCCCACAAGTTGATTCGTCCCAAAGTCGATTCGTCCCACAAGTTGATTCGTCCCAAAGTCGATTCGTCCCACAAGTTGATTCATCAGCCCACTACTAACTCGCCAAATAAGCACAAACACATCCAAACAACGAACTGTTCACGTACACGTCATGCACTGGCATGCGTAATTGTTTGTTGCGCCATTTTGTTTTTGCCGACGTTATATACAAATACACCTTACGTACAACGCTGAGTTATTAGTTAATAAATACAAATACACCGTACAAGTTATTAGTCAATAAATACAAATACACCTTACGTGCAACGTGGAGTTATTAGTCAATAAATACAAATACGCCTTACGTGCAACGTGGAGTTATTAGTTAATAAATACAAATACACCTTATGTGCAACGTGGAGTTATTAGTTAATAAATACAAATACACCGGACATTCAACGTACAAGTTATTAGTTAATAAATACAAATACACCGTTCACGCAACGTGGAGTTATTAGTTAGCGTGTCAGTAACAGTTGGCATAGAAATTGACCCTGTTCAAGATCGTAATGCTGACTAAAATTTTTAAAAATGGACGAATGTGAATTGGGACGAATCGACTCGTGGGACGAATGTGTTGGGACGAAAGTGAATTGGGACGAATTGACTGTGAATCAAATATAAATGCTATATACCGGGGTATTGATTGCACAGTTTGCATCTCAGTGACTTGTTTATGCATCTTTCTGCCAATAGAACCACAGTCGAATTGTTACTTCCAAATTCACAATTTTCATTCATTTGATTTCAAAACACAATAAAGTTATCAGTATGGGTGAATTTAGAAATTAAGATATATATTTAGAAAAAAAAACATTCAAATCCTCTTAGACCTTCAGAAGCTCTGTAAGAAATTATATAAATATGGTACAAATTTGTTTTTATACACTTAGATTTAACCTTTTCAACACCAGTTCCCTCTTTTCCCTTTTTTTCTCCATCAAACGTGTTTTTATAAAAATTTTCTTCAGTGAGTTTTTTTCTTCCCCAGAATTTTCTCTGTGTAACCCCCCTTACTTTATTTACTTATTGACTCTTACACAATCCCCGGAGGGAAAGAAAATGGTCACAAAGTACAAGGAGAAATATATATATAAAAAAACAAAACAAAAACACAATATACTAAATAACAAATACAATCACTAAATTACTAAATAATACAAAATCTCTAAAATACAATCTAATATAAAATTACAAAATTGACAGCAGGCATTAAGATGTCAAGTAAGACCCTGCTTCCTGACTTCAAAGCTTTTACTTATGAACTGTGCTACTGGTATAATAATGTTTTCATTCTGTAACAATTCCATGAATTTTTTCTCTGCAGGTTTATTTTCAAATGCTGGGATCATATCCTTAGCTTTATTGAACAGTTTGGCACGCAACTCATTATATTTGTTGCATTCCAGCAGAAAATGCATTT